ATTTGCTGAAAAACGGTTATCTAACGGAGATCATGTCTGAACGCACCAAATCACTGCTAGGACGGAATGACAAAGCGTCACCAAATGAGTCTAGGCCACCTTCACCCTCTGCGCCATGTAAGGTAATCAACTTTATTAATGGTGGATCTGATTTATGTGGACTAACATACTCTGCAGCAAAAAGACACGCCCGGGACTACACCCGAGACAAGTCGTTGCAGGTTTATAGGATCGGAAAACGTCAAGAGGAATGGAGGAATGCATCAATCACGTTTGACGAAATGGACATTTATGATCCGATACAATCTCATCACGATACATTGGTGGTCTCCCTTAGAGTGGCAAACTGCGAAGTCAAACGAATCCTCGTGGACAACGGAAGCACCGCGAATATTACCACCATGAAAACGTTGGAAGAGCTGGGGCCAAGGAGGAAGATATAACAGGTTCCGGGTCAAGCTTAGTCGGATTCAATGGGGAGCCAAGCAGAACCATAGGTAATATTTCTTTACCTGTATATACCCATGGTCTAAACATGCAGGTCAAATTCGACGTGGTCGAAAGCATACCAGCGTACAACATGATCCTGGGAACTCCCTGGTTGCATCAAATGGGAGCAATTCCATCGACTTATCATCAAATAGTCAAGTTCCCAACACCATGGGGAGTACAAAGCATCAAGGGGGATCGACAGTCAGCCAAATCTTGCTACCAAACAGCGATGAAGCCAACTGCGGACCAAACTGCCTCCAGGACCGCATAGCAATTAAAGGGTGGCCCCGCCTTGGTGGAAGATGACGACAAAACAGAAGAAGTTGCCATCGACTCAGAACATCCAGAAAGGGTCATCCGCATCGGGAAAGACATACCAAAGCACCTCAAAGACGAACTGATAAATTTCCTCAAAGAACATAAGGACGTGTTTGCATGGAGCCACGACGACATGACAGGTATTGATCCTAATATCATAACTCACAGGTTAAACGTCAGCCCATTACACAAACCCGTCAGACAAAAAAGAAGACGCTTTGCAAAAGAAAGGAACGCTGTTATAAACCAGGAAGTCGACACGCTGCTCCGAACCGGCAAGGTAAAAGAGGTAAAGTATCCCGGTTGGCTAGCTAATGTCATTGTCGTTCAGAAAAAGAAAGGGCAGGAAGAAGGCAAGCCAGTCAAATGGAGAGTCTGTGTGGACTTCACTGATCTGAACAAAGCGTGTCCCAAAGATTCATTTCCAATGCCACACATTGACGCTTTGGCTGACGCTACGGCCGGGCATGAAATGTTATCCTTCATGGACGCATTCAGTGGATACCATCAAATACAGCTTCACCCTGATGACCAAGAAAGCACAGCCTTCATCACTGAAACAGGTACGTATTGTTATATTGTTATGCCTTTTGGACTAAAAAATGCAGGCGCGACGTTTCAGAGACTAGTCACCTTAATGTTCAAAGATCTAATGGGGGACACCATGGAAGTTTATATCGACGACATGATCGTCAAATCAAAGAAAAAAGAGGATCATATCTATCATCTGACGGAACCCTTCAGAAGACTGAAAAAGTACAATCTGAAGATCAATCCAGCGAAATGTACTTTCAGAGTGACGTCAGGAGAGTTTTTAGGATATATCGTCAGTGAACGAGGAATAGAAGCGAGCCCGGAACAAATACGAGCAATTATCGACATTGAACCTCCAAAATCCGTCAAAGATATCCAGAGGTTGACAGGACGAATTGCGGCTTTGAATCGTTTCATTTCAAAATCGTCAGACAGGTGCCATTTGTTTTATGACGTCTTGAGAAAAAACAAAAAATTCGAGTGGACAGATCGACACGAACAGGCGCTTCAACAATTAAAAGAATATATGATGTCGCCACCACTGCTCGCAAAGCCTAAAAATGACGAAGAGCTACAACTCTATCTGGCCGTTTCAGAGCACGCCGTCAGCGCAGTACTGACAAAAGAGGAGCAGGGGAAGCAAACTCCAGTCTATTACGTAAGTAAATCCCTAAATGGACCGGAATCCAGGTATGCTTTACTTGAGAAATTAGTTTTAGCTTTGATCGTTGCTTCGATTAAATTACGTCCTTATTTTGAATCACATACCATTTGTGTTAGAACTAACTATCCCATGAAGTCAATCATGAGGAAACCGGAATTGACAGGTCGCATGGCTAAATGGTCGATTCAACTTGGAGCTTATGACATAAGATTCGAACCGAGGACAGCCTTGAAATCACAGTCACTTGCAGATTTTGTGGCAGACTTCAGTCCAAAGCTCCAAGAGGAAGCAGAAAAAGAGATTTGCACTCTGACCGATGGATTCCCAAAGCAAAAATGGACATTGCACACTGACGGAGCGTCAAACCAAAACGGCGCAGGTCTGGGCGTGATACTGAAGTCACCACAGGGGGACACCATGCTCCAAGCAGTACACTGTGATTTCACCGCTACGAACAACGAGGCAGAATACGAGGCGCTAATCGTCGGACTCACATTGGCAAGGGACTTGGGCGTCAAAATCTTGGAGGTAAAATGTGATTCTTTACTGATAATCAATCAAACTAACGGTGTGTATGCAGCAAAGGACCCCAAGATGACATCTTATTTGAAAATTGTCCGAGAATTGATAACGGCATTCGACGAAATAACCCTTGAACAAATCCCACGAGAAGAAAACACACAAGCTGACGCTCTGGCCGCCGTCGGATCATGTCTAGGGGCAGAAATCAATCGCAACATCCCCTATGTGCACTTGATGAGCCCGACAATTTACAGATCAGAGGTTGCCTCTACCATTAAGACCCCGGCACAAGACGACTGGACACAACAATACGTAGCGTACTTAAAGTACAATACTCTCCCAAAGGACAGAAAAGAGGCCAAAGCTTTCCTATCCAAGGCAAGTAAGTTCTTACTGATTGATGATGTGCTATTTAAAAGATCTGTCGCAGGTCCACTCCAAAGATGTCTGGCACCGCAAGAAGCCACCAAAGCATTGAAAAATCTTCATGAGGGGGAATGCGGCAATCACGCAGCAGGACGAAGTCTGTCTAACAGAGCTCTTAGATTCGGTTATTACTGGCCGACCATGAGAGAAGATGCGACCATATTCACCCAAAGATGCAAGCCCTGTCAGATGCATGGACCAATTCGTCATCAGCCCTCCGAGACGCTTCATCCAGTTCTATCACCATGGCCCTTTATGAAGTGGGGCATGGATATTGTAGGAAAGTTGCCAGAGGCACCGGGGCAGAAAGTATATATGCTAGCAATGACGGATTACTTTTCAAAATGGGTGGAGGCTGAGCCTTTTCGGCAGATACGAGATGACCAGGTGATTTCGTTTATTAAGAGAAATATCCTTTGCAGATTCGGCGTCCCTTCAGAAATCGTTTGTGACAACGGATCTCAGTTCATAAGCGCTAAAACCAGACGCTTTTGCGAGAAATACAATATCAAATTGGAAACGTCGACACCTAGGTACTCGCAGTCTAATGGGCAGGCCGAGTCTAGCAACAAAATTATCATTGCCAACTTAAAGAAGAGGCTTGAAAAGGCGCAAGGCCGATGGGCTGACGAATTGCCCTTGATACTCTGGGCAGACATGACGACTCCGAAAAATGCAACCGGACAAACCCCATTCTCACTGGTGCATGGCTGTGAAGCGGTCATTCCTGCCGAGATTGAAATACCTTCTTCGAGGTATGGACTCATGACCGAGGACTTGAACAGAGTGGAGTTGGTGCACGACTTGGATACCATTGACGAGATCCGTGAACGAGCCAAGATCCGTTTACAGACATATCAACAAATGGTGGCAAAAAGCTATAATAAAAATGTTCGGGCAAAGGTGTTTCAGAAGGGAGATTGGGTCTTGAGGAGAGCATTTGGCAATGAAGCAGCCGGAAAATTCAGTCCTAATTGGGAAGGACCTTACAGAATCATTGACGTCATCGGTCAGGGGGCATACTGCCTGGAGTCAATCGATGGTAAACAAGTCCCTCGAAGCTGGAATGCGGTACATTTAAAGCGTTTTCACTTTTAACAAAAGTTTCTTTTGTTTTTTTTGCATTTCTGTCCCTATTACTAAATAACTAACTTGGCCGTCGGAGGGCCGTTGGCTTAAGGCCAGCGACCGACCCTGACGATAATTATAAATACAGGAAGGCACACAAAAATGGCCAAGTCGCAGGTAATTAGTCACAGTTCACATAATACAGTAAATACAATTCATCATTCACTAACTTGACCGTCGGAGGGCCGTTGGCCCCAAACCAACGGCCGATCCCAACGGAACGGTATCATCGCAGGACTATGACAGGTTAAGATCAAAATACCAGGTGACCGAGTACCATAACAACAGATAGAACATCAGATCTGCTCACGACAAAAAACATCAACATACAGGGGACATGAGGCTCATTATGGGGAAACCATGAATGAAGTTCCATGAAACCGAATAAAGTTTTGGCCAAAACACAAAACACAAAACACAAAACACAAAACACATATATGTTCCTCTACGCACACGGGGCAGGTTACATACGAAAACGACATATATAACAACACACACGTCAACATAAACGTCAATCAGGTGACCAAAAGGAGTAGCAACGGAATCACCAAACAACATGGATTTGGCTTGGATAAACCACCAAGCACAATATCCATAAATCCACAGGAAAATATTAAAACCATGATGCAGGGGCAGTAATAGCAGAGTGAGTCTTGGAAGCAAAAGCAAATGTTTAAAGATGAGAAAGTAAAGGGGAAGGGGTGCAGTTAGTTATCTCGAGAGCGTCTGGAATCAGCCTCGTTATCGGACTGACCAACGTCAAAACCGTCTTCTCCAATCGGGGGATCCATCTCATCTTGAAGCTTTGACCAGGTAGCAACGTCCTGTTCCGCAGTCCAGTTTGACGTCTCGCCTGCGAGGAATGAAGTCATCAGTTCACCTCTGGTTTTCCAAGCATAAAAACAGGCCGCGTCAGTGACCTCTTGTTTCTTTTTCCTCCCATACGCTTCCAACGACTTAATACGGATTTTTAAAGTTGAGATTTGAGTTGTCAAAATCGAACTATCGCTACGGAGACTTTGGATCGTTCGAGCATCAACATCAGCACGAGCGTGAAAACTTTTCTCTTTTCTTTTTAATTCGTCCACAGCCTTTTCTAGCAGAACCAACCTTTCTGCAGCAACAAGGCTAGCTTGAACACTCTGCCAGGTTAAAACAAATTTCTCTCAAGAAGGATTAAATTTCTGCAGGTACCAAGCACTTATAAAACGACAAGATACCTGGAAAGCAAAAGCCGAGGAAGCCAGTACCAGGCCAGCTGAGGACACATCCTTGAATACAACGGACGAGGAGGAAAGCAGGACTTGAGGCATTTCAATTCTTATCACAAGAGCATTCTTCAAACAGCAAAAGTCACGAGAGAAAGAAGCGTTCATCTTCCCACCAGAGTCAGGATTGGTTGTGGCACTCACTGGACGAGGAGGAGCAGATTTCATCTCTGTGTGGGGGCATTGTGAAGTTTTGGAACAACCAGAGGCCAACTTGGATGGGATTTTCTTCTTTCTCGAAACCATGTTAAGAAGATCGTAATCAGAAGGTATCGGCCGTGTGTTAGACGAAGAAACAGCTGCGGCAAAGGAAAATATATAAACATTCTAAATAAAGCAACATTTGACGAATAATTGAGATAACTGAAACCAGTACCAGTGTGTTGTGTAGAACGTTTTGCTGGAAGAGAACAGGAATCCTGACCACCGGGAAACACCATCTGAAGAGGAACGAAAGCACTTGCATTTTCACCTCCACCCCTCGAGGTTTCTGATTCATGGTCTGAATCATCTACAGAGACCGCGCGTGAATCTTGGGCATCGTCAAGGACGCTCTGAATATTACGGCGAGAGCGCCTTAATCCGACGGACCGAGAATGGTCAGGAGTGGGAGACATACCTTCATTATCAACCACTAGATTCCCAAAGGTCCGTTCAGCAGTAGTTAAAGATAAAATTTTAACAGTCCTTCCTTCAGAGTCTGGACCATAGCTCAAGGGGATAATCTTCCTATCTAAAGCAAAAAAAAAAAAAAACAGTGAAAACGGTAATTTTGACGTATTGCAGACCAGCCGTATAGCGATTAAAAGCATTTGAAATTCATATGTAAAGCAAGGAGTTGTCAAGATACCTTTGTGTAAACTCTCTTCAAGAAATGCGCCCTCAGAACTTAGGGAATCTTTTTGCACAAAGAAGAATTGGCTCATCCAGCCACGATCATTAGCTTTGTCCGCCCTCAATATCAGCGCCTCGCGAGCATCTTTGACGGCCAGGGTAAACCGACCAGCTCCAGAAGAACGAAGATCATAGGTAAAACCCAGATCTTCGAAGGAGAAGGGGATGCTGTGTTTTTCGCTTAATACTTCTAAACCACGCAGAACCCTCCATACTTGTGGCATTACTTGGGAAGGAGAAACCTTGACAAAGGCTAGGAAATCTCTAACTAAGGAAGAGAAAGGGAATTTCATACCAATCTTGAAAGGATACATGAAGAAGTTGACCCAACCATCACAATGCCAATCAACCCGTTCGTTAGCGGCCGGAAACCGGATGGATGCATGCGCTGGAAATCCGGAACCATTCTTGATGGCTTCGATATGATTCTCCGAGAGTTTAGCCTGTTTTGCATTCTTCGGATCAAGGATGTGTTGAGGGATGAACTGTTGAGACGCCATAGATTCTCACGATGGATCTCTGCAAGAATCAAGCGAAAGGTATTTCACAAAAGAAGAGTTATGGCTGAAAAGAGACTACTCTGACAGAGGGTTGGTTACTCGAGGAAGGAGGCTGACGGTTTTGTCCATTTCGAGGCAGCATCAAAACGTTTAAAATTCAAAGAAGTAATCGACCGGTTGGATTAAAGTGGTAACGATTACTACTTCAAATTTTAGGGGCAATTGTTGGGCCCGGATCTGTCAAGCGAATCGGCCCATTACATTAGATTAGAGTTTACTGGACGGATCGGCCCACGTGACCTTAAGGAGTCCACAGAATCCGGCTTGGTCAAATGACATGACGAAGTGGATAAGAAGTTGAGGAGAAAATGGAGGAACAGATCCCGATTTAGTAGGGGAAGGCTACCATTTCGCCGGGTAGTTCGTCCACATGGGGAAAAGGGTTGGAAATTCTATTTTAAATAGGCTGGCGGTAGAAGAAAGAGAGAACTCACTGAATTATCTATGCACTTGTAATACCACTTTTCGAATCATACATCCAGATTAATATACTCTCATTCATTAGCTTTCGGTTCTTATATTGTGTTTCTTGTACGATCCCTACATACATATAATTTTAGATTGGTTTAATTCTTGCTTAAACATACATTCCCCTGAATTTCTATTTTTGCTATGCAGAGTGTTTTGCCAGAATCATGTCTCACTTGTTCTTTGGTTTGATAGTTTAATTTATTTTTAAACATATTTCAGACTGATGAAAGTAGAAAACTAAAAAGTAGAAAACGCTCTTTTTGTTTTCTACTCATGAAACTAGAAAACTGAATAATTGAAGTGGACACTCGGCTATAGTAAAGGCTTCTTTACTTTTGTTTTCAAACGCTCCTTATTGCCTTTAGTGCATCAGTGCATGTGATGCTCCTACTGAATTTGATGTCCCTATTGTGAACCTAAATGACCTTGAATTCTTGATGCCCAAGTTAATGTATTTGCTATTCTGGATGCTCCAAAAAAGGTATTATCCATTGTGAAATAAGCATTATAATCTGGTTCCACTTTTATTTCTCCCTGATTCCACTTTTATTTCTGCATTGGTCCAATGTGTAAAACCAACACTTGCATTGGTAAAATGATTTACCGCCCGTTTTTTACGAAGCAGGTGAGCAGATAAGATGTGCAGCAGTATTCTGCAAACTCATTTAAGGTTACACTAATTTGTAATGCTAATTTTAGTATTGAAATAAGACCCTGACACACCCTTTCTGCAAACTCATTTAAGGTTCGTAATTTTTAAGTAGAAAAAAGCAACAACTGATATCAAATAATTTCATTCTTTAGCATTGAAATAAAACAAGGTGTGTTGTACTGAAAGGTATTAAACCTTTCATAACTTAAGGTTCAGTAGTTAAACCTTATTGAAATAAAATCAGGTGTGTATTGAAATTAGTACTGAAATTAACTTTTGTATAATTTCTCTGACATCAAATAATTTTATTCTTTACAACTTTAGTATGAAACAAGACCATCCCTAATTTTATTAAGTGTCTGCCAACTCTATTTCACAAGATCATCAGAACACACCCATGGATATACCTTGGTTGATGCGTTACTAATCCCAACCTCATTCATTCTTGTCATCCTTTCACTTTAATGATAATATTTTAATTGCCCCCCAAAAAGAAACATATATGGCTGAATTAAAAATAAATCATAGAACAATGGTATTTATTGATTTTTTTTTTCATTTGCAGGATTGAAGGAGGAATGGAGGAGTGAAGTTTTAGCCTACTTATCTTTTGGAGCTACAACAAGCGTTCAAAGATTTGTTATTACAAACATTAATTAATTATCACTCATTTGTGTTGGATAACTTATCTAATTTTCATTATGGATAATTTTAGTATTTTCTACTTTGGTTTAAATATTGTGTTTTAGTTTTGGTATAACTTTATGTAATTGATGTCGTTTGCTATTTTTCGACATATCCAAAATCAAATTTTTGGATGTTGGGTAGGCCCCTTTTTCTGATGTCTTATAAGGAATTGTCTTAGAGGTTTGGTGTTGTGAATTTTCGGTATAAAACGGTACGAGTCTCATATCGGTACGGTAACAGTATGATATTTTTTGGTTCGGCCCTTGGACCAAATGATATTTTCAAATACCGGTATTTCGGTACGGTATGAGGTATGGCGAAAAAATTTCGGTATAAAGATTATATTTAAACTAGCACAGTACCCGTGCATAAGCACGGGAAAAAACAGTTGATCCGTATATATTTTTGTTCACCATCTAATTAAATATAAAAAAAATCTTACAATTCTACATCATATCAAAAATGGAGTACAATAAGTGAATATTAAAAAGTATAAATCCATAGAAGAAAATATTCATCAAAGTAAAACAAAATTAGAGTAAAAACATAGATATAATTCATTAGGAAATTACAATTTTTTTCCAGCGATAGAGCTAGATATTTATTGATTGTCATAACATATGTGACGATTATAGAAAAATGTCTTTTCATAAGCACAAAAGGTCACGACAGAGAGAATATCAGAGAGGAAGTTCCCCTGCTCAGTACGAGGTTTGGTGTTGTGAATTTTCGGTATAAAACGGTCCGAGTCTCATATCGGTACGGTAACAGTATGATATTTTTTGGTTCGGCCCTTGGACCAAATGATATTTTCAAATACCGGTATTTCGGTACGGTATGAGGTATGGCGAAAAAATTTCGGTATAAAGATTATATTTAAATGGTGAACTTAACCCTATAAAATTATATTTGTGAAAAGACATATGATCATGATGCTAAAAAAACTTTTTATATAAAGATTGATGTACTTATCTCACACCTCTCCAAAGTTTGGGATATTAAAATTATTTTCCCCTATATCATACGACTCCATACAGGAGTCATTTGGACTCCATATACATTTGTACACACTCTTATATCCACTTTTATACTCACTCATGTTTGTGAAAACTTTTTCTATGAATTCAGTTAACAGACAAAATTTGCACAAACAAAATAACACATATTTTGCATATGAATCTTTGCATATGAATCGGATTCACGGATGAAAAAAATATTGATAGATATGAAGCCGGTATAAGGCATTCAACCATAGGTCCATAACCCAATAGTTACCGTTACTGGCTTTTCATGTTTCATTACGAAAACATGCCAGAGATGCAACAATACTCCGTATGATTCCAATTTAACACATTTCCCAATGCAAAACTTTCAAATTCAAATCCTTATTCAGGCCATCAATGACTGCAATTTCTGCCAAGCACAAGATAAAACAGTATCTAACAACTGCCTTAAAAGCATTTCCCTCTGTCAAAAACCGACCAAATTCCAATATTTTAGAAGCCCAAACTCTTGAATTCTTAATGAAACGAGTATGTCTGGTCTCAAGAATACTTCCCATCCCCTTCGCCCTTCAAATTCATATAATTCCCTTTACAATAACCCTCTAGTCGTTGCATCTGAGGACAAAGGGAATGATTCTCCGAATAAGCCCAAAAGTTCGGGTCTGGCTGGGAAAGAGAATGCTGCTCCAACTAGTGGAGCCAAGTCCAAGCTGAAAGATGGAGTCTTCAAGCCATCTTCACTTAAGCTGTGCATGAAAAAACAGGATTCTGATTCTGGGAATCTGTGGGACTATTCAGATTCAGAGGCCGCGCCTGCTTCTTCTTGGTCTACCTTACCGAATAGGTCAGTTTTTTACTTGGATGGAAAAGTCTTAGTGTGTTTGGAAACTTACGGATTTGATTCTTTTTGGGGGGGTTTGTTCAGGTCATTGTTGTGTAGGCCTTTGCCTGTGGATATAGGGAGGTGTACCTGTGTTATTGTGAAGGAATCATCTCCAGATGGTTTCAGCGGAGGATCTCTCTACTCACTCTACACCTATGTAAGATCTTTTCTTTTAGCCCTTCTCAAGAATGCACATTTTTTTGCTTTGTAAACATCCCAACTCATTACCATTTTCAAGAGAATTTGGAGTCTATTTTTTTTCTGTCAGTTTCTAAGAACATACTACTAGCTACCTTAAGGTCTTAAACTTGTGAAGAGGCCGTATCAATATGATGTCTGGATATAAATCATGTAAATCATGTCTGGATATAAATCATGAAAACCCCACTTGGAAGAAAAAAAGTGGGGTTTTCTGCAAACCAACTACTTTTTTGCTCTACAAATTATTGTGCTTGCCTTTGAACAACTGAAAGTGTGACTGTGGAAAATGGTGTTAAAAAATGAAATTAAAAAGAAACATTTCTCAGTTTTTCTGAAATGGTATTGAAAACTGTAGGATGGTTGTCTAGAATCTCTTATGTTCATTTCTCAATTCTTAGTACACGTCACATGCTTGTCTAGAATTTTTTTAAAATATGATGTTGAAAACTGAGATATACATAAAACCATTTCTCAATTCTTGGGAAGTTAAAGAAACATATGTAGCCTTCAGTGCACATACATGTGAATACATTCTGAAGCTATAGTGATTATCATTCTTTAAATAAAAATCTGTAGGAGGGTCAAGGAAGACAGAATCGGAAGCTTGCTGTAGCTCATCACAGAAGGCGAAATGGAAAATCAGAATTTAAAGTTGCTCAAAGTTCAAAGGAACTAATGATGAGTTCAGAAGACAGTTTGATTGGGAAAGTAACTGCTAACCTCACGGGATCAAAATACCACATATGGGATCAGGTACATTTTCTTTCAGGCTTCAAAATATGGATGTTTTGATTGAAGTAGTTGTATAACGGAACGAACAATCATATCAGGATGTGTTAATGTGTAGTAGAAACTAGAATATACATATGAAGTTCTGATGCATGAGTTTGGAAAACTGAATCACAAAGGATTGGGAAAGAAAAATTAACACAACAAAAAAGATGCTACTAAATTTGTCAATTATTATGAGAATTCTCAAGATATACAATATTGGAAATGGATCTTAATCTTGGCTGAAAAGTACATGCCGCCTCAAAGAGATGATTACTCCCAGAGGTTGTTGAAGTTGAAAAAAATATTAGTCTAACGCTACATGAAAATTACATCAAGACTTTTAGGTTTCATTCTAAAAGAATTAAAGATGTATACAACAAATTTGAAACATGTGTGGTTGTGTTTTAGTCTTAGTTGGATTGCTCATTGACCTTAGTTGGCTTGAAATCATATTAAGACTAAAAGTTCCATATGGAAAGGTCAAGGCTGTATCTTTATACTAGGCCTATATAGCATGTCTAACAGTTTATTGATTCACACAGAAGTGGCTGCTTCTGAAAATATTAGTCAAATAAAAGTGGCTACACAAACATCACGCTTTATGGAAGTAATTGCCTCCAGTAGTTTGATCTTGAGGCTCATATCATACAAGAGAATATAATAGTAGTAATACTTGAAACATTATATACGGAATCTGTACTAGTGTCCCTTTTTATTTTGTTATTCTTTCGTTCCAAATATGCCTCACTCAATTTTCTACTGAATGAATTTGTTTATATAAATCAGTATGTATATTATATAGTATAATAATACTAACATGGGATAATTAGGAAAATCTTAATTACATTTGAAAATGAAATTTCTGAGAGGATCACTTGTTGTGGGTAAAAGTTGTGTAATGGAACGAACAACAATAACATGTTAACATTTAATATAATACATTTATTAATTTATATAAAATGCACAGGAGTCATTCAATAGAAAATTGAATGACAATGAGATTTGAAAAGAGAAAATGACAAAATGATAAGGATACAACTAAATATATAGCATTTCAATCTAACAATATTATTCAAATTGATCTCTTAAGTTATTTTCTGTATGCAAATCACTTCCAGCTATCTTGAAACCAAAATAATATGGTACATCTAGTAATACTTCCGTAATCTTCTTGATAACAGATCAATTTTCTCTAACAATATATTCCATTGTGTCATCTGGTGCTCCTTTATTTTTTATTTTGACAGTTACGTGTTAATGATATGTGCTCATTATTGGCATATGATGATTGCTCATGTTTTATTTATCAATTGGTTTGGATTTACATATTTATATTTTATAATAATATATGAACCACTTCATTCAGGGGCAACTTAATTCTGGACCAAAACCATCCAAACTATTAGCTGTTGTGAGGTGAGCATCAATTTTTTTCTACAATTGGTTTGCAATTCCTTAGATTATAGTTAAACCATAGTCACCCACCACACAAATGGTAAAAATATGAAAATTGATTTATGTACAAAGCATTAGACTCCCTCTAATGTGATGAGTAAGGCTAGGTATACATTTTGTTGGGTACAATTTTTGTACATTCCGATGAGGAGTGATAGCATCAAGTTATTACATGCCAATAAGGTTTTATTGAAATATTTATCTCTTGTTCACAGGTTTTCTGCTACAGTGGCTACCTGGATTGGGAGTTACAGAAGGATCAAATCATGGGTACCAAAGCACCAATCCATGCTGTTGAAAAGCAGCACAACAACACAGGTATGTTCATAGAGTCAACTAAAAGTAATGATGCTTCTCTTGAGATGCACAACATTCGTTTTAATACAACATTCCAAGCTGCTCTTCATTAATCTTTGAACTTCAGATCCAACATATTAATGGATTGCCAATAGATTGGAAGGAACATATGGATAATGTTCATCAGCTGCTATCTAGGGCTCCCATCTTCAACAAGGTAATGCCATTGGACCTTTGACATAAGATGTTTGATCATATCTTATTAGGTATTGGGTAGCTTCTGCTATCCAGTTTATATGTTTATACGTGGTCGGTGTGGGATAGCTTAATACGCTTCCACACGATGGTGACTCATTGGAACCGACCAATCTTGTAGTTCTTATGCTCGTTGGTAAGGCTTACCACGATGTAATTGCTCATTAGAGTTTAATTGGCTCTCATTCCATATTAAGATTTGGGGTTTCATTCTAAAAGGTCAAGCAGGTAAGAGGAGTATCCAAAAGCTTAAACACTAGTTTGTATGTTTATATGCAGTCGGTGTATGGTAATAGCTTAATACGCTTGACCGACTAGGATAGAACTTCCACTTTCAAAGCCTTAGTATGACATCAAGTAGGTCATGCTCAAACGAGCAAACGCTTCAGCTAAGACTCAAACAATTGCCATTGCATTATGTCATCCAACACTCTCTGTGTGTGTTGTGATTTCTTGTTCTGGTACATGTTGTAGATTTCGAAACAGTATGAGTTAGACTTCAGAGACAGAGAAAGGCCAGGACTCAGAATCCAGAGCTCTGTGAAAAACTTTCAACTGATGTTGGAGGTAATTAAAAATTACCACGTTCCTCTCGATCTTACAAAAACTTTCGTACTGCTCAAAACATTCTCTGCATCAAATACGTCTTAACTACCATTCGTGTCTTTGTCATTTCAGAAGAATGGAAGGCAGACAATACTACAACTTGGGAGGGTAGGGAAATCAAAGTATGTGATGGAGTATAGGTAAGCAAGCAGTTTGATGGTTACTTATCTTCTACTCATTGCCATTATAGACCACTTGGTTAAAACATGACTAGGGAGTAGGGAGTCCAGATTTGAGTAATTTGATTAAGAAAATTAGCCACTAAAACATAAATTGTTTTTTCGTAGTTATGAAATAGTGTTCTATTGTATTGCAGATATCCACTAACTGGTTATCAAGCGTTTTGCATTTCATTGGCTTCCATTGACCCAAAGCTTTGCTGCATGGTATAATAACTTCAGAACATTCGGCTTAGCATTTTGTTTAGTTTGGTTTGAATGTATAAAGTGGTCTCAAGTGTGTCAAGAAAGAATCTCCTTGACATCCAGACTAACATTTCATTTTAATTTTATAGTTCTAAGATTTACTTTTTCATACCAAACATAACTATTATTTAGTGAGAATAACCAAGCATAAATATGAGAATAGTTTATGCAAGTACATAAAGCTTTGCTGATTTAACTATGCCTATAGTGGGTTGAAATCTAGTGCTACATATGTTTTTCTTATGTTTTTAGGATAATTGCTCACCTCAGTTATTGCTTTAACATAGGATTTAACTTTAACATAATCACCCTTCTTACGAGAACACATAACTATGTAATAATATGTGTGTATCCCTATGACCATTAAGGTGATCCATCCCTATCCAAGGTGTATGCACTACAAAAAACACTGGATTTGTCACGCATTTTGGTCAGGATACCGTCCCTAACAAGCTTGTCATAGATTTTGTTAAGGATTCAGGAAAAAACCGGTCAAACAGTTTTGTCATTGAAACAACCATGACAAAATATATTAGAGAATAAAACCGTGACAAAATCCCTGATTGTCTACTAAAAAGGCCGACGGCAGAGACACTTCGGCCGGAATTTGCGACAAAAATAAAGTAGATCCTTGTCACTATAGGATCTGTGACTAATTAAAAATATATCCCCTTCGCCTCAAATTGATTTGCAAAGTCAACATTTTTTTTATCAATAAACGTTAAAGTTAAATCCTTCCTACTAATAATTAGTTCAATTTTTAATAATTAAATTTTACATATTTAGAAACTACATTAAATTAAAAAATCTCTTCAAAGTTGCAAAATTCAAATTCGAATATATTTAAAAAACGATATCTGAATTATGTGAATGAAATGAAATTGTTTGATCAAGAAAAGTCAATTTTGCACATCAATTTGTGACGGAGATAGTATATTTTATATGTTTGTCACAAAATTTTCCGTGACAAAAGTACCTGTTAGAAGTGAAAATGCGATCGTTACACATTCGTGATAACTTCTGTGACAAATAATTACTATTTAATAAAATCCGTGATAAATTTCGTGAAACTTTTTTCTATGTATACTTGGCAGTTTAGTTAATTTGATTTCATTCTTATGGTGTTTAGAGAGTATTATAATGTGTTTGTGAAGTCATCTAAATGACGAACTTGGATGAATTTATGGAGCTAAATACGTGTTCTAAATAAGGTATGTTAATTTATTTCCATGTTTTTTTTGTCATACATATTGAATTGAATAGAGTATTAGTTTATTTAAAGCATTAACTTAAATAATTTTAAGTAAATAATAATAGACAATACATATTTATGTCATTAATTAATTGTATCATTGTATATAGTGGATTAGTCAATTTATTATTGGTTAGAACGTCCGCCATACCATTGGGTCTCGTTCGCCTTTGGACAGTTCCTGTTTATCTTCCTCGTCTAACTGTATTTTTTAAAAGTAAAATTGGATCAAATTGACTAATCCACAATGTTTCAAAAGACCTTTCCAAGCGTTGTCGGAAACCCATCCCGGCTTGGCATTTTGAAATCAAGCATGAGAAAATGTAGAAGTGAGCCAACAGCAACCTGTAACCCATCCCGAGAATGGAAGAATTTCTTAACTCATCTTGCTCATTTGGATCCCACATATACTCATGCTTCAACAAATTAAATATTATTATTTAACATCTTTAAGAAATCATTTTAAAATTATTTATAGAGACTTTTAATATATTACCATGAACATACCAAACATGTCATTCCGGAGCTTTTTAGGCATTTGTTCATAAGAGAGGCACTAGATCTTTAGGATAATATTCAGCGATAATTCTTACAATTGTTGATAACATTATGACATATCTTCATAAAAATAAAAATTTAATTAATTGCCTTTACATATTGTTTAATTGTTACTTTAATTGAAAAGAAAGATAATTTACCCACTATCTTCTTCAACCATTACCCATCTTCAATTATTGGGTTATTCAATATGAGGCTGTGAGGAGCTCCCACCACCGCCAACCCTACGCACATGAAAGACTTAAAAAGATCCGGGGTGTCGGGTTGCCCCGTATTGTCAATCGACATAGTATCATTGTTCGGGTCAACATTCAGCGTACGATGAGCACGAAGGGTTGAGCCCTGACCTCGACCGCGACATGATTGGTTTGAGTTACGGGAGGAGTTTGTCATCTAAGCTTTATAAAGGTAAGTAAAATAAATCGATTTAGTTTGTAACACATTAAACTTATACAAAACGTAATCGATGTTTTCACTCTCATACAAAACTATTTTTGCTACTTTAAAGATGGTAAGGCAATGGTGATTTTTTGAGAGAGGGAGTGCGTATACCGTGCAACGGGTGCGGCACCATGCACCCATTGAATATTATTTTCTCTTTTTCTAAAAATGGTAATAACTTTTTTATTTTTGATTCGATTTTTATAAAATTTATATCAACATTTTTTATTTTTCATTATCTTTCAAATGAGACCAATATTGCCTATGTAATTTTAACATATTAACATTTGTGTGTAAAATATGTAATTTTAAGTGTTAAAATATGTAACTCACGTTCAGTCAGGTCAAATGCAACTCGTGTGTATAAATATGTATCTCTACGTGTAACAATATGTAAATTTACGTAAAAAAATATGTAACTCGCATTCAGACATGTCACATGCAACTCGTGTGTATAAATATGTAACTTTACGTGTAAAAATATGCAACTTTACGTGTAAATATATGCAAATGCGTTCAGACATGTCAAATGCAACTCGTGTGTATATATATATGTAACTCGCTTATAAAAAGATGTAATTTGCTTATAAAAAGATGTAACTCGCTTATAAAAAGATGTAACTTGCTTATAAAAAGATGTAACTCGCTCATAAAAAGATGTAACTCAATGTATTATCAAATGTAACTGAGGTCACTGATCCACTCCCAAACAGATTCGATCTTCTATTTCGCAAACCTATCATCTCCCAAACAGATTCGATTTTTCTTATAATCCAATACTCATTAATATAATAGTTCGATAATTTCTTAAAATTACATACACAATATTGGTCTCATTTGAAAGATCATGAAAAATGAAAAATGTTGATATAAATTTTATAAAAATCGGATCAAAAATAAAAAAGTTATTATCATTTTTAACAACAAAAGCAAAAAAAAAAAGCAGATGCTACGTCGTTTTTGCAACCGGGCGCACCATCCTCATGGTGCGCCGGTTGCATCATATAATTTGTCTGAGAAATTAGCCGTTTGGTTTTGTCACGGAAAAATTTGCTAACGAAAATTAAATGTCACGGGTAGTAATCCTTGACTACTTACATGTTTGTCATAGAATTTTTGGTAACAAAAGTAATCGTTACATGTGTAACGCTGCTGTTACAAATATTACCGTTTGATAAATTTTGTAACAAATTTTGTGACAATTTTTTCTATATATACTTGGTATTTTAGTTAGTTTGATACCATATCATTCTTATGGTGTATAGTGTTATAGAGAGTATTATAATGTGTTTATGGAGTTATCCGAATAATGAAATTGGATGAATTTTTGGAGCCAAATACGTGTTCCAAATATAGTATGCTAATTTATTTCCACGCCTTTTTTTGTAATTCATATTAATTGAATAGAGAATTAGTTTATTTAAACCATTACACTTGTTATAATAAATCATTTTAAGTACATAATAGATATTTATGTAGTAACTAATAGTTGATTAGTCCATTTATTATTGTCTAATTTCATGTATTTATATTTTTGAATATATATTAACTTTTAGTAATCAATGTTAGTGTAGGAATGAAACTGATTTCTAAAACAATACTATCGTACATCAAATGTTAGAAGTTGGATGTACGATAGACATGACGAAAACAGAGATTTTCAACAAGAATTTTTTACTATTGTTGGTGAATTTGTCACTTTTGCACTCAGACAAACACAATATAAGGATGGTGATAAAATAAGATGTCCTTGCACTAAAAAGTGTAAAAACCTTAAATTTCCAGAGAGTGAGTACGTGGTGTGGCATTTGTACACGAAAGACTTTGTTGACAATTATTATAATTGGACTTCACCAGGTGAGTCATTCGACCTATCAGTTTTGCCACAAACAGTAGATTCGTCTCGTCATGTTCCTAATGAATGGGTGAATGGGGTGATTATGATCAAATGTCATGGGACTATCAAATGGTCTATGATATATTTGGTGCTTCAACCTAACAATTTATCCCTAATGAACCATTAATTAATCCCCCCGAAGGCCTGAGCTCTAATGTCCCTCATAGTGATGAGGATCCAAGCACTTATGTTCCTTATGTTGACGAATTAAGAAAGAGATTCCGAGATGTCTTAAAAGCAGTCGATCAACCTCTCTATGTCGACTATGATGGTCACTCTCAACTATCGGTAGTTTCAGAGCGGGTTAAACATAAAATTTGAATATAGCCATCCTGAAAATTGCACGTCTAGATTGTTGCAGTCTGTCTGAGAGATGTTACTGCGTGATCATGGCCTTCCTAGTATATATTATGACTAAAACAATTGATCTCTCAGGTGGGGCTTCCTGTTATAGAAATGGATGTGTGCCCCTTTTGGTTGCATATTGTTTTAGAAGGATGATGAGACACTGTCTAAAATATTTTCTCTTCCTCTAGCTCCACGATTGAAGCGAATATACACTTCAAACACTACTGCTGAACACATGACATGGCACGTCGAGCATGAAACAAAAGAAGGGTTGATGTCTGCAATGGAGATAATACAGAGTTTAACATATCGGCCAATATGAAACTTGTTTCCAAACTGGCCACACAGAGCAAAACCATCCAAACATGCATAATGTGCATGAAGAGTCATTTCATTTTTTTCTTTAATTTGTCAAGGCCCAAATGATTTGAAAAAATAGGCGTTTATCTGAAACCTCTAATCGAGAAGATCAAAGACTTTGAACGGCTATTGGGGCACAAAAATATAATGTCACTCGAGATCAAATGTTCATTATGAAAGCTGTCATTATATGGACCATTAGTGATTTCCAAGCATATGGGATGCTTTCTGGATGGAGCATTGCCGATCTTTTGGGATGCCCAATCTATATGGAAAAATCTGGTGCAATCTTTCTTAGGTACAGTCGCAAATCGGTTTACTTTGATTGTCACCGCATATTTCTCTCGGCCAACCATAGATATCGACGAGATAAGAAATCATTCTTGAAAGGAAGAACTATACGTGACCGCAGACCCCCTAGGCTGTTCGGAGATCAAATTTTCAACCGTGTTCGACATATTCTAAAGCTATGAATTTACCACACAAAAATCCAGATGGTTTTTACATTACTCATAAGTGGACAAAAAGAATATATTCTGGGAGTTTCCTTATTAGAAAGACCTTCTCATTCGCCACAATCTTGATGTCATGCATATTGAGAAGAATGTTTTTGATAATGCTGCCATGAACTTCAAAGACAACAAACGATGGTCTAAACTCAATAAAGGATATTGCAGTTTGGTGTGACAAACCTGAAGTTGGTGTTGATCCTGAACACCTTGGCAAATTCCAAAAGCAATTTTCAACTCATGGAGCACAAAATTGTAATATTATTGTGGCTAAGGTCTCTCAAATTCCCGAATTGATGCTGCTCTAACTTTTCAAGGTGCTTAGATACATAAAAACTTTTCATGACTAACATGAAATCATGCAAAGACTTCTTCGAATTACTTTAAGGGATATGCCTTTGTTTAAACGTTCCTCCAAACGTTCGAATTAGTTTGTTGATTCTAATGTTCCACTGTTTGGGAGACTCATGCCTCAATTTAGTGTTTGCATGCTAATGTGCAATTTGGAAATGATTATGCATCCATCCATCACTCTACGATACAATGGAACACTTGTTAGTCAATTTGGAAGTGATCGATTATACATCCATCACTCTACGATACATCAGGGATATTTTCATGACAATAGTGCACACCCGTGATTATTTCACCAATTACAATTTGTGCTAGGGATTAGTCACGGAAATATCTCTCACTAATTCAAAATTCAAACGGGGTGTCTAAACCTAACAAGTTGTTTACTTTTCATTTGAAATTTCTAAGGGAATTGAAGTTATCCCTCACAAAGATGTGATAAATTGAATACGTGTACCATTGTTAGGTATATAAGTTGTATCATTTTTGGTCCACTTTCAATTCCTTCCTCAGTCCACAATGCTCACAACTCTAATATTTTTTGCATTTTCGTATGAACCGCCTCACTTTTTGCATCTTTGTATGAACCTTTACATTCTAAATGCATGCTTTCCTTTTAAGTTTTTGTTATATGCATGTTTAAGTTACATCTTCTAGTGTATCTATGTTTCTATCTTCTAAATTCCATTTGTTAAAGATTTTTAACAATTAATATTTGTACGTAAAATTTTATTTTACCGAGTGCGAATCATCTCACTACATATTGTTCATATGAAAACTATTTTCCAGCACATTGTTTGGACTGCACATAACTATTCGAAATGTTTTCCAACATTTAATTATTTTAAATTAATTTAATGCTTTGATTTATGACATGCCTTGTTCGGACTTTTGTGTTATTTGTTTAATGTGCTGAACTGTTTTTTAGTTATTTTATATTTCTTTGAACCTATTTTTTGGACCTAATGTTACAATACATTTGCTAGAGTATATTCGCAATTTATACCCTGGGATCGGCGCATCATGAGGATGGTGCGCCTGATCCCAAAACGACGCAGCATTCATTATTTTTTTTTTCTTTTATTATTAAAAATTGTAATAACTTTTTTTATTTGATATCCGATTTTTATAAATTTTATATCAATTTTTTTTATTTTTCATGATCTATCAAATGAGACCAATATTGCTTATGTAATTTTAACAAATTATTTTGAAGTTACATTTGATAATATATCATGAAGTTATATCTTCTTCTGCGCGAGTTACATCTTATTGTACTCGAGTTACATCTTAATATACACGAGTTACATCTTAATGTATGTGAGTTACACCATGAAATAAACCACTGCTACATCTTTCATTTTTATCATTTAAAAAATAGTGTAAGAATATAAAATACAATATACTTATTTTATGTTGATTAATAAAATTTTGTATTAAATTGGCAAAGAAAAAAAATAATTCAGTTATAATTGAATTAGTTCAAGATAAAGATAAGTAAAAAATCACAAATAATTAGATACAACTCACACATAATTACATGTAACTCGCGCATAAAAGTATGTAACTCGCGTATAACAAGATGTAACTCACACATAACAAGATGTAACTCACACATAATTACATGTAACTCTCGCATAAAAGTATGTAACTCGTGTATAGCAAGATGTAACTCACACATAACAAGATGTAACTCACACATAATAACTTGTAACTGGAGTATAAGATGATGTAACTTCGTATATTATCAAATGTAACTCCAAACTAGAAGCAAAATAAACAAACTCAATATCTTAAAAACCTCTAAAACATATCAAAGTGATAAAAAATATATATTATAGAAAAAGTGTATGCACATAAAAATATATTACAAAAAAATGTATGAATGTAAAAAATTAAAATTACATAGGCAATATTGGTCTCATTTGAAAGATCATGAAAAATAAAAAATTTTGGTATAAATTTTATAAAAATCGGATCAAAAATAATAAAATTATTAACAATTTAAAAAAAAATGAGAAATAAAAAATAAAGGGTGCATGGTGCTCACCATGCACCGGTACCACGGTATAAGAACTGAATTTCTCACGTTTTTATCAAGGATTACATATCAAATCGCAAATTCCGGCCAAAGTGTCTCTCTGCCGGCGGCCTTTCTTAGTAGGCAGTGACGGATCTTGTCACATTTTTATTCCCTAACATATTTTATCAGAGATTTTCTGTGACAAAACTGTTTGATCGATTTTTTCCCGACTACCATCCGTGGCAAATTCAGTGTTTTTTTTGTAATGACATACTCCCTTCCTTCCATTAATCCGTGGCAAAACTTTTGTTATGATTTTTTTTAAATATTTTCATTGAGAAAAAATTAATAATATTATTTATAATATAATGTGGTCTACGAATTAATTAATTAATGATTAGAATATGATAAAAGTGGAACATGTAACTATGTAAGTAATATAACAGTCAAATTATTACAATTAATTAAGCACATAAGTATTAAAAATTAAATGATAAACTAATTGAAAATAGGGGAATATGGAATATGGAAGAACATGCTCTCTAAGATATACTCTATCCCGCGACCTGCATGCATTTTTATGCCACACACCAAAGTTTTAATTAATACTCCCTTAGTATATTAGTTGTAACATTGAAATTTACATATTATTCATGTACACTATTTTGATTACATTTTATTTATTAATGTATACAAATTATTTTTTTGAAAAATATTGTTGAATTCATCTCATTACAAAGTTTCATAATTTGTTTTTTAAATTTTTTTACTAATAGGGAACTACATATAATGATGATCAAAGTTTTGCGTTAGTAAGCGTAGAAAAGGGAATGTTGCAACTAAAAAAAAATGAATGATAGTATATGGAGCACATTGGCATGAATGCATGATGAGTAGTGTAAATTTTCTCATCTTTAAAGATGATAATGCTTCACTTCTTCATGCCAATATGCTCCATATATAAAGAGCATGTATGCATGTTAGCGTGCTAACTGAGTGTTTATGAAGATTGAAGACAATAATGGCCCTTAATTAAATCAATACAGTTGGTAAAATGAAAATAAGGAAATACTCAATATGGTAGAACATAATATTTTACTTCCACAAACAAACACTTAAAGTTTGATGCAAATATACATACATGACACAACTTGTACCTAAAAACATACCAATTACATGATACAGCTATGCATGCCGAGCTTACTTGAGATATCCAAACCCCATCTAAAGTCTAAGAGACAAGTCAAGTTGGCCAAAATCCTCTTGACCATTCCCAACAGGCTTGTGCCCATTCTCGTTTCTATACCCATAAACCACTTCCCTCATTCCAAAGCTTGCACCATCGCCAAACCTAGCTGCATGTCCTTGGCCATAGCCCGGTCTACTGGTTCCCGGTTTGATCCGCGGGTTGTATTCCGGGACGTCTACTAGGTTCATCATCTCCATGCTCTTCTTGGCTAGGGTTCTCTCCAGCTTATGTGCGTTTTGATGCCCTCCCAAGGCTTGTGAGCTATAGAACTTCCTCCGGCAATAGTTGCACGCAAATACCCGCAGCTCCGCTTGACTTAGCGGAGCAGGCAAGCTAGCAGATGGACACGCCAGCCGCTTGAACTCATTCTTAGATGATAGCAGGCTCAAGTTGAGGGTTGTGTTTGGCTCATAACTCATGGTTTTACTCAAGATAGTAGTATTATTAATTTGAGTACGTGTGATAATGGCTGGGGAATAACTATGTTTTTATTATTACATGCAACGTGGGAATTATATATAGTGCTTATATGCAAAGAGTGTATGTGTGTAAGAGCTAGAGATAGTAGTGGATGGTGGCATTGGTGGGGGTAAAAGTAGAATAAATATAATTATAGCTAGCTAAACTAAGCTAACTTGAATTATATCATTATTAAATTTTGTGCTAAGCTTTTGTCTTTGCCAGCAACAACAAAAGAAATGAAGTGTATAAATAAGAGTGATGAAGCTGAGAGAGAGAGGGAATGATATAGAGAGAGTAATAACCTCCAAATACAAGAGGGACTCAAGGGCTTGTCACCACCATTAATGGCACCCTTCATGTCAATTGTCAACCATGGTTAGGTTAGAAAAAGTCTTTTCATTTTTGTTATTTTGTGATAATCGAGTCGTTTCGATCTCTTCGAGGCCTAGGTCATCATCATTGATAAGATTATTTTGGCCCCACAGAACTACCGCTATGTAAATTCTGAGATGAGCGCCTTGAGTACGTATTATGAACTTTGTGATCGATATCTGAAGTTCAAGTCTATCTCAGAGAAACTTTAATGGAACATGTATTATGGAGGGGTATAGTGATAATGTGGAAGACATATCATAGTAGAAATATTGGGCGTGATAGAAGGAAGTTCATAGATATTGTCAACATGTATCATTCTTGAAAGATCATCAGTAATGTCATCAGATCAAAATATACTCGACTATATGATAAAAAGCTTAATTAGGAATCGAGTACTTGTCCTCAATATAGTTTTGATAAGCTGAATTGCATTCTCTTTGAAAATTAGTCAAAATTTTGTATGAACATTTTTGTGGGAATATTATGTATGTATGGAGTATAAAATGAGACGTCTAATCAAGTATCGGGTCACACTTTGATTTAAGTTGAGTCATCTTGATTACCTAGCTAGGACAAAGAAGAGATGATGTCTTACGCACTTTTCCTATAAAAGTACAAAGTTTTGTTTAAGATCAAACCAACTTGACTCAACCAAAACTCTAATAAAATAATGCACCTTTTTGCCATTTCCTTGGCAAAAGTCGTTTACCGGTGCACCCTGCAGTGAGACACTAATAAAGAGTGATCTTTTAATAAAATAGAACTTTACTACCAATGTTATCTCAGTTCTGATTTTTTTTTATATTGTAGTAACAACATTTCCCTCCATTTATTTCTTTTCAACCTTAATTCAACTTGTTTTTCTGATTATGTATTCTTTTTATATTGTAACAACATTTTCCTCCGTATAATTAAGTTACTCCAATAGGCTCATCTTAAGGTTCAATTCTCACTTGTCCCTTTTGAACGTTTCAGCTAAATGTTCTCATTTTTTAATAAATAATTAACAGTCTTAAATGCAGTCTTAAATGCCAATTTAATCGTAAAATATAATATTAAAAATAATACACATATAATATCACAGTTATCACCAAAACACTCATCAAAGTTACTTCTCAAGATATACTCGGATTACCTTATAATTCAATTGTTGCCTAAGTAATTAAATCAGTTCCCAGGAAATGAGAACCTTAAATGATTGATCAAACCATTCTGCAGTTGGAACTCTAATTCAGTTTGGGGGGAGTAGGCACCATAATTTATTTGTTTTTAACTTTTTGTCACATTTTGGAATGTCACACTATCTTTGATCACTCCTATTTCGATCGATCATATTTCAGAAAAAATATATTCGAAGTTCTTTTGAAAGGAAAATTAATCATATTATTAACTCAACTTATATTGAACAAAATCATTAGATGATGCATTAAATACAGGGGCGGCCTTAGGGGGCAGGGGGCGGGGCGCCTAGATCCAAAACATGAAAAGGGGTCAAATAAAGGGGCTTGTTTAAAAGTAAATGTGCTTATATGATTTTTTTCAGTACATGAGCTTAAGTGATGAATTGAAAATACTAGAAAAGTTTATTTGACTTTTTTTCGGGAAATAATTACGCTCATTAAATACTACTACCTCCGTCTCACTAAGACTGGGACAAGAGAAGATGACACAATTATTAAGAAAAGTGTGTTTGTGTGGTTGATATTAAATTGATAATGTAAGAATAAGTTAAAAATCATTTAGAGCCACACAAACTTTACCAAATTTGGTACTCGTATGAGACAATCTTTAATGAGATTTTCCAAAAAGGTAAAATGAGACAATCTTAGCGGGACGGAGGAACTATTAAAGTTTCATAGGGGTAAAATATGACTTACTAAAGTGCTATATTAACATTATAGACTGCTCCTTGGTTTGCGTCAATTTTTAAGATCTACTCCCTCCGTCCTATAAAATAGTTCCCACTAGGATTTGGATCGAGGTGTAAGAAATGAGAATAATGTGAAAATGTATAATTATGGTTTAGTAAGAAAAAGATAAATCAATGATAAACACACAAAACTTTTCAAGAAAGAAATCAGGACTATTTTTTTGGGACGACTCAGAAAGAAATCAAGACTATTTTTGTGGGACGACACAAAGCTAATAACATATACGGAGTATAATATATAGCTCGTGCACGCTTACCTCTGAAGTCTGAATCAAAGGTGCTCTGATAATATACACAGACCTTGGACCACTCCGAAAAGGGATTCTGACTTTTTCGATGGGCTCCTTAAATTTTACCCCGAGATAGATGGCTGGCTCGTAAAGCGGGGGACCAATGAACCGCGCGCCGTAACTCCGCGTAAGCTGCCTGGGCCCAGGAAAGCGTCTGCGACCACAGCGCCACGAATGGTGCATCTTTGTCGTCTCTAGCTCGATCCTCCTATGCATCCTCGTACAATCAAAATGTAGGCAAAATTGACTCATCATTGCTCAGGTTCATCTGAAAAGGTTATTAAGGAGTACCTACTAAGCAACTTGAATCTTCTTCATTTTTGTGAAAGACAGACTTTGCACCACATTTTTCGAGTAATATTAGACTTTACACTCCTATTTGAATTTTTTTTGACTTTGCATCTCATCATATATGGAGTAACATTTGTGATTAAAGTTTTCTAAATAAGGTGCTAAGTCAAAGGATTTCTAAGTGAAATGAGGTGCAAAGTCAAATTACCCCTTTTTTGAAAACCATATAACTAATTATTATTAAAAGATACTAAAGATACGAGAGAAATAATAGCCTAAGGCTACAATGGGATGACAAATAGAAAGGAAAAGGTCCAACGAATCCTTCCAAATCCCTAACCCCGCAATAATGTAGTCTAGTCTAACAGCTTTGCTGCTCTTCTTGCTATTCAAAAGAGAAAGAAAAAAGTCACAACTAAAAGATTCAGCTTCATCAATCAACTGGAAAGGGAGAATTGGTTTGACCAGCAACCAACAAATAAAAATCAGTTGAGAATAATTTTTTTGAATCATCAGTTTGACCTGCCACCAAAAAGGAGATTCAATTGAGTGTTTTTTTCTTCTCAGAGCGAGACAGTGGTTAAGGTGGTGGGCAAGTAATTGAAGCATCAGAACAACAAGGTTGAAAAAGCTTTATCAACCATGAAACAAAATTTCACTTGATCGATTAAACCGATTAGAAACACACAATCTCTAGACATTGTTAGAAGAATAACATATCGCACGCTAATATTAAGGGGACAAAATTCTCGGCCAATGAAGAAGCTAGATCATAATCCTCGAAAATAGAAAAAAAAAAACCGGAAGCATAGAAAAACTTTTGATTCAATCTTTCAATGCATATAGAATGCCACTATCTACCAAAACTTTTTGGTGATTGAAGAAGAAAAACTGAAAAATCACATCTTGAATGAGGTTGGGTATGGCTGCCTAGAATTTCCCTAGGGCCGGCTTTTCAAACGCCGCTGCTCTCTCGTACGGATCCAGTTCCTCTGCCTTGCTTAGGCAGGCAAGGAGGGTGCCTGGCCAATTTGAACCATCAGATCAAAAAACCAATGGCCTAAAATTAGTGGGTCCATTCTTGACACAAATCTCGAGTGCTGAATTTTAATCCCTGCCTTCTATTTTAGTAAGGTACTCTGCCTTATGGCAGAGGATCTCAATCCCCCTCGTACTACTATGCCTTGTTATTTGACTATTTCATGCCACTCGAATCTTCATTATAATTTTTTTTTATAAATGTACATTTTTTTATTACTTTTGTGATTAATTGATGAAAACAAAATACTCCCTCCATCCCTATTTAGAAATGCCATTTTGTTTTACACACATTTTATGGAAGTTACACTGTTTGACACTGTTTTGTTTACCAAATAAGAGAATAGATCTTTTTTAGGGACGAACCGAAAAGGAAAGTAGGATGTTTATTAAGGGACGGAGGGAGTATAATATATTCATAACTTTTTTTGCAAAGATCCAAAACATATAATAGAAAACTGAAAACTCTTTGAAATGTAATCATTAACATTTCAATTCAAAACTAATAAATAAGCAATTAAAGTAATCAATCATCAATTTAATATGAAGCATATCAATTGCCTTAGCTACAAAACCAATCTAAAAAAGCATAAATACAAAATATGCCATTAATTTTGAACCATGTGAAGACAAATTCCTAGCTATTGATTTCAGTCTTTGTTTCCTATCCTTGTTGCATGAAAACTCTCATATCCGTTGCATTAAGAAGAGTTCTCATGCAAAGTGGTCTTAAGTTTACTCTTTTTAGAAGACGCCCCTCCCCTTCATGTACATACTCAAGTCCACCTGGAGTCCCTTATGCTATCCGCATCATTGTAGGCCATTCAAGAACAGCCTCCCCGAGTTTACTTTCTGAAATTAATTGTATCTAAAGCTTATAAGATCACTATGCATATGTGCACACACGTACATGTATACTTGAATAATGAAAAGATCAAATAAATATGAGTGGTACTAACGAGGGCTGAACAAATAAACTGGCAATTTGAAACCACATTAACCAAAACCTTAGGCATTAGCTTCCTTGGAGAATTTAAGGGCTAGCGTTATATGAACACATGCAGGCAGGCCTTGTTGTATGGATCCAGTTCCTCTGCCTTGCTTAGGCAGACAAGGAGGGTGCCTGGCCAATTTGAACCATCAGATCAAAAAATCAATGGTCTAAAATTAGTGGGTCCATTCTTGGCACAAATCTCGAGTGCTGAATTTTAATCCCTGCCTTCTATTTTAGTAAGGTACTCTGCCTTATGGCAGAGGATCTCAATCCCCCTCGTACTACTATGCCTTGTTATTTGAC